TTATACCTGGTTCTATGAGTTCAACAAAACAAAAGGAAAATCACATTTTTCTCACCAAAATGACACTTGATACAACTTTTCTTCCCTCTCTGCAAATTGCAAAAAACCGCAGTTAGAATTAGGCTACCAAAACCACATTTTTATCATATGATTTGGCTATTTAAGTGTGCTTTTAACTTATTTCATGTGTTTTGTTTCATTATTGCGGCTTCATAAATATTATTTTTGCATGAGGTAACTCATAAGAGTTTACAAGGAGTTTACGGACTCTCCATGAACTTATGTAAATTCTCGAGTTTGACAACCTTGGTTATATATCTCCTTTTGCTTGTTCCTATGCTCTTTTCTCTATTGAATTTTGTCTTTTCTATTAATAAAAAATGAATCCCCTTAACCATATCGCAAAATTTTAATTGATGGCTTACTAGAAGAAGTTTTATGACAAAAATCAAAAATAAAGAAAAAAGGAAAGTGAATAATGAATTTGACATAAAGTATTTTTATTACAGTTAAGTTTTCCTTAAAAAACAAGGATAATTCAATGATAGTAGATAGATTATCTTCCTTATTCTAATCTATCAATTTACACACTGTAGCAAGTGAAGCTCTTAATCACTCATTTCTTAAATGCAATGATCCAGGAGTTTTGACAGAAAGCTACTAATATAGCAACATAGTTTGCATTTTTTTATGTTGGTTTTGTTAATTAGTGATGCTTATTATTTGACTCATTCTCAATTTGGTACAATGAAAGTCTGAAACACTTTCAACTTGAGAAATATCAAATATGTTAAGCCTTCTATCAAAATGCAGCTAGAGGATCTTTGCAGCTAGTGAGGTAATAATGATGGTGTTAACAAAGTAGGCTGGGTGATGGTGGTAGGGTAGTAGTGATAATGATGGGAATGGTAATGGATTTTGGTGGTGATCAATGGTGGAACAAAATGAGGATGGCAGCAGCTGCCTAGCAACCCCAAAAAACCCTCTGTATATATTGGCCTATCTTAAACTTCTATGGGAGTGAGTACATTAATAATATAAACTATAACTGATTTAATTTGTTCTAGCCTACATTTCATATTGTCTTCCAAATTAAAATATGGAAAGAACTCTTTTTTAGAGATTTCATGTTCTTCTTTGCCTTTATTCCATTTCAAACAAAAACAATGAGGATAAATTTACTCAAATTGTATTGTTACGCTATGTATTTGTATATTTATAGTCTCTATCATTAGTTTTATATGACTTCTTGTACTTGTTTAATTATTAATATTTATGCTAATGAAAGTTATGACAACTATTAAGATTGAATTGCATTGATGCAGAGCTATTATATTTGCTTCTTGATATTGTTAATTTTGTTTTAAACAATGTATCCTTAATAATTGTCAAATATTGATTGGAATCCGTTAAATATAATTAACTACTAAGAAACAAGTCTTTTCAGGCATTAATATTTTTGCCCTTTGAAAATTCTTGGCCAAGTTCTGCTGGTGGCGATAAGAGCATTCCTTTTTGCTCCCTTTTGGTTGGATGTTAACCTAGCTCAGTAAGGTTACCAAATTGGGTGAATCATTACCTCATTAAGTATTAAACCCTTATCCTCCCCATTTTCCTCTTTTATCTTCATGAATTTCTGTCTCCTTCTCTGGCGAATTTTGGTAGAAATTTGTCAATGGTACAGATCTTCTTGTTTAATTCATCCTTTCATCCCCATAAACCAGCAATCAGAAAATCTATATCCATATTTTTATTTCCCTTGCCATTTAGCACCACATTTATTAACATACAAAAAATTTTGTTGCATATTGCCTCCTCATTTGATCTCAGGTTAAATCTTTTCTTTCCAACTATACCATATGCATACCAGTTTCACCTCTATCCCTTATTCAAGTCAACTCCTTTAGAATTTAGTTATTCTTCTCACTCTTCTGCGTAAAATATGAAAATATTTAAAATATGATGGTTCGCAACATAAAACATAGAATTATTTGGGTGTAGTAAGATCAACTGACTAGGTTTAGAAACCAGCATATCAAATGGCTTATGGAGCTACTTGCATACTGAAAGTGGTGATAGATGTTATGCTAAGAATGAACATGTGTGGTACTAGATGTGCTGTGGAAAATGTGTTATTAGTTGGTGAAAACAATGAGAATTGTTTTTCATACTCATTTCCTACTTCATTCTTCTACACAATCTTGTTTGTATTGGTTTATGCCTGTTTGTGTTGTGATCCCTACTCCGTTCTGGTTCTGGCTGAATTTGAAAATATTAGCTTCTCACTGAATGGTCTTGGAAAGCATGAAAACGGAGTTTTGTGTGCTTATACAAACAGACTACTAATGAATGAAGCTGTTGTGAAAGTTTGTTTTTAGAACTTAAAATGGCTGGTTTGGTTGAAATTCAAAATTTTGGGCTTAATTTTGAGCTGTAATGCTCAGGATTAAATTGTGTATAACGTCCAAAAATTAACCTGCCTTTTTATTCACTTTTTTCATATCTCAGAGAAACCCTTCATTCGGTTCCATACTTCATCATTGGATTATTATAACTATATTTTCTCTGTCAAGAATTTGTTTGATGATGTAGCAAAGTTTTGTTAGGTTCGATGTAGGGATTTTGGCTGACGTTATTCTCTGTTCATGTTCTTTGTACTCTGACTACCGTATTTGCTGTGCATTCCTTGGTGTAGTAAACATGCTAGTGAACATGCCTTTGGTTTTAATTTGGCTAGATTGATGCAGTGTTATCAAATGCTACTTTGTGGATGATTTTCCTTTGTTTCCTATCGCAGCAGAACTTTCAGTCTGAATAGGAAATACCGAAATATTTTGAAGCCTTGCTCTTGTATGTAAAAATAAAAGGCTTTGTCATTGTTTGTCTTATTCCGAATCAAAATGCATTTCATTAGTTATTATAGCAGTATAGTTAAACTAGCACCATGGTAAATCACATTAAGACAACTACATATTTGGCAACTCTATTAAAAGTTTAAGTTACTCAAATACTGACCAACATGGTAGGATGTTATTTTATATTATAATATTGACTAGAAGTAATTGAACACCTTCTTCATTCCTCAATGTACAAAAACTTTGTTTATCATAAAATATTTCACTGACTTCACTGTCTAGTGTGAATTTGTGTGCATGACTAAATAAAATCTAGAATGAGAAATGAGAAAAAAAAAAAAAAAGAGATATCCAACGTCATTATCATCACCTCCCAATTTTTCCGCTGTTCATCAAATCTTTGACTAGGATAGGAAAGAAACTTTTGTAGATATGGTCCAGTAAGTAGGTCTGCTTCATTTGACAATTTTGGCCCGGAAAGTCAGCAAATACTACGCAACCTCGCGCTACAGTACATGATGTCAGTGACGTGGGGAATTTTACTAGTGATGCACAAAAATCCCAGTAACAAAGATTCTACTACCATGGTTACAAGAAACTTTGGTCGGCACTTCCCAGTTACTTTTCAAGTTAGCTTTTTTCTTTTCCCTTACACACTCAATGTTCATATTGAGAGATACCACACACGCTTGTTCAATCCTATGCCTTAAAACGACCTTCAAAGCTTCCCTACTTTACTAATATAATGTATATATCATGTTATAAAGCCGGATAATCATTGCTCTCAAACTGTTTTAATGTTATTGTTCCTTTTGTTAACCTATACAAAAGAGTACCCCAAAAACATTATAGAATTTAATACAATTCAATGGATTGACTTTATTAAATGTTATGATTTTAAATAAAAAATATTATTTATTAATTTTTTATTACGTATTCTTTTGTCCGGGTTAAAAAAATGGTATAACTAAATATGTGAACATTTGATTACGATCAATGACTGTGTGCAAGTGTTATTTACCTAATGTACTAAGTATAAACCATTTACAAACAAAATCTAAAGCGGTCCAGGACCACTTGCTGGAGGGAATGGGATTCAATTAGAAAGAAGTTGATGAGATTTCTGGGTCTTGGCCTATTTGTAATATTCTCTCATCTAATTTTATGTGTTAATATATATTTGGGGTAGTAAAATGCATCGATTTATATTGCTATGATTGTTATAAGTGCTGGTTTCAACATCCGCAAAAGTATTTATAAATCGTCAACAGCGTAGGCATTATTGACAAGAATCCTATTCTGAATGCGGGGGTTGCGTTATCTGATCTTGTGAAAGAATCATATAGGAATATTTTGTGCCTTCTCCCCTTCACCTACTTGACCAACGCCAGGTTTCCCATTTTGTGCCTTGTTCGCTTCACTAACTCGACCAACACCATGTTTTATAATTCAAATATTCTTATCAGGTCGAATATTTTTAATGACAATTCATCGAAGGAAATTTATAGGCGAGAGATCAATAATCAATTCATTTTTAATTTTTAAAAGGCTGAAGTGGCCATCAATCATTGTAGCTAACATGCATTTTAAGTAAACTATTAATACTAATTCTGCCTCAATTGCATCTTATTCATGAGAAGGAAACTTTAATAAGATACAATTGATGATGATTATTTTATTTTGGTACAATACAAATCTACTTTTATTCCTTGAACCATGTGTACAATGCTCAAATATCCTCATTTCCACCAAGAAGAATAATCCCCTTCTCCCCTCCCCCTTTTTTAACGTGAAGAAAGAATTTCATAAATGGAGTATTGAGTTCCATGGAATGAAGGATACGAATCAAATCCATGTGTAGATGCCCTCAAAACCTTAGGCACTACCATCCTTGTGGTGATGCTTGTATGCTTACCCATGGGGTATCGCTTAGTTACATAAAGGTTATGATTAGATAATAAAGAACCTCTTCCCTACTTTCTTTGGATGCCCACCTTTTTGTATCTATTCATTGGATTGTTATTACCATATGGATCGTTTTGTCTAAAAAAAATCAGTTTTCCTTTTGATCCTTCTAAGCAACAGTAATCAATCTTGTGCTTACATTGTTCTCAATTGAAATAAATAAAGTCAGTAAAGAGTTCCAATAAATAATAAACAGTTGCTTCTTATTACCAAATTCTTGAGCCCATACACTAAACAAACGGCAATATACACAGTCCCTGAATACTAGAATAAAAAAGATAATAGCTGTTTGGTGCCTCCATGGCTTCACAATTGATATCTTATACTATTGAAGCTCTATAGCAACTTCTAATCTAAGTAATTGGGCAGTTTCACTGCCATGACTGAAACATGTGATTCATGGGGACAAAGGAGAGGGAGGTCCAGAGAAACTGCCAGTCTCCATAGTGAAATCAATGACACTTGGTGTCACGTTCACAACGCTCTCATCAACCATCTCAACATTTCTGCTATTAGAGGCTTCTCCCCTTGACCCTTTCGCCTTCTTCCCCCTTTTTGCCTCCTTCTTCTGGAATATGCGGTAAACACCCCAAACTGACATCTACATTAGCGTTCAAAATTCAGTAATTAGAGATACTTATCATAAACAAGACAAAAGCATTCAACTTTTCAAACAACTCATAAATAAGAATTTAATAGCCATTACTCTACCAGCCGACTGGTTAGATAATGATGATGATGGACACTGTTTTATTCTTTACCTCAGATGGATTTGATGTAGGGGCAAGCTGGAACTCATGCATCACCCAATTTGTTTTGCTAAAACGGGTTCCTTTCCCTTCCCAGAAAACAAGTGTGTTTTTCTTCCCAATAAACTCGTTGTTCCCTGCGAGCTCAACATCCATGCCTTTCTCCACCACTCTCCATTGGCCACTCCCAACAACCCTCTTGTCAGGGTTCTCAAACACTCGGGTCCCAGTATGGTAGAAGAAAAACTTCTGCTCATAGAAACTCTTTCCACCTACAAAATAAAATTAACAAAAAATCAAGACACCATTTTGGTACAATTATCGACACCCACTTGAGAACAACGCATAATCATCTGAAGGGGCATGGAAAAATTGGATTTTTATAGACAAGACACATTGTTCATAGACAAAGGACCTTAAAAAAGAAAATTAAAGGGATGGTTCTGATTTATTTAGTTTCATTTTACCAACCTCCTGGTAGCTCCGAAGGCTGAGTTTGGAAGACATCATAGTCTGGGATGAGCTGAGAGGGAAATGGTTGAGCAAAAACCTTCTTGGTCAAGTAGTAGCTGACAAGAACATCATCAGTGGGGTGAAACCTGTACCCAACTGGTAACTTGATGTTCCCATCTATACCATAGGATATGAGCTTCTCCATCTCAGTGAATTTCACCCAAAGACCTTTGCTTTTTGAGAAGAAGAGGATTGTCTCAGCTCTTTGGGTGAATCATAGCGGCAGAGCCTTGCTTTAAGGACTTAATTTATAGATACAAGACATGCAGTGTCATCAATGTGTCTGTCTAGTAGTGAGAGAGAGAGAGAGGAACAAGATGTAGAGAGAGAGAGTTATGCAAAAGAAGGAAGAATCATAACTCTTATATGGCTGGGAAATCCTAATTCGTATTTGACTTAGGAAAGTAATTTGCCGTTTTTTCTATGTATTATATTTTTTCCTATGTGGGGTCATTGTTTTCATAAAACGTGTGCGGTACATCACAACTAATGTACCAACAAAACACAGGTGAGTTGGCAGATAACTGCTTTTGATTTTGTTTAAATTTAAAGGTATGCTTGTTTTTTAAATTAAAAAATAAGTTAAACTAAAAATGTTCTAATATATTAATTAGAATTTAGTTTTTGAATGTCTATAAAAAATAGTATTAATAAAAACATAATTCATTGTAATAATCATTAAACTTCAAAAAAGATTAGAGAAAAATGTTACATGAGATCTGTATAGTACATAGTAGTAGAGGAAGATGTTACTTTCTGCTTTTCGGTAGAATGCACCCGTTACTCGGTTACAGTGTTCAGCATGTGTGCCACGTTTTGTATTAGCGGTTTTCTTTTTATTAATTAATGGCTTTTCATGAGTTATTATACTCGGTGAGGACTTAGACTAAGACTCGAGACCATCGTGAATTAAAAAGTCATTTTTCTACAAAGAATAGCAGAATACTAGAAGCTCAATTCAATTTCATTCTTAAAAAATTAATAAATCAAAGTGCTTTTAAACTATGTTATAATCATGTTGGATTAGTTTTTTTAATTAAAATATTGTTCCTTCTTTTGTTTAACTAAACTTCTGTGTTCACGAAAATAAAAGTTTCAAGCATCAAGGTCAATCATTAAAAATATACTTCTCGATCTACACATAAAATATTGTTTCACAAATGAATTTTTTTTTAAGTTTAAAACATTTTAAGAAATGGAATTCATGTTAATCTTAAATCTTGAAAATTTCTACAAACAATTTTTAAATTTAATCTACAAAGAAAGTAGATAGCTATTCCTTTTAAGCAATTTTTTAATATGAAGAATTATTAAATAATATTAAGTTTTAAATTTAATAGAATAATACTTTTAATAACTTTTATGAATCTAACCGATTAATTATAAGTTTTTATATAAACTTAACTAAAAACTTGTTAAAATAAAGTTAAAAGAGCTTATTTATATATATATATATATATATATATATATATATATATAAAACATAAAATAAGATAAGACAGGCTTGTAAAAGTTATAAGTTTTTTTTTTATGGATTACACACTTTTCCAAATATTGTGGTGATATTATTTTATATTGTGCCTTCTAGAATAATTATCTTTACACAAGAGAAAATATAAAAAAATATAAATTCTCAAATGAGATATTAAATTTTGATATCATTAAAATAAAAAAATTGTTTATATTACTTTAGTTACCTCTTAAATGCATGCTTGATTTTATATATATATATATATATATAAAGTGTGTTTGAACAGTGAAATAGAGAAAAAATAATAAAAAAATTAAATTAAATTACTTTTATACTTCTTTAAATCTTGTCGGTGCTTTTTAGAATAACTATTCTTACTGAGGAAAAATGTAAATTCTTAAATGAAATATTAAAATTTAAGATTACTAAAATAAAGCAAACATTATATATTATCTTTTTAGCTATCTCTTAAATGCATGATATATATATATATATTTGAATGAGAGTGAAATAGAGAAAAAATTAAGTGAAATTAAAAAATAAAGTAAAAGTGTGTGTAAATTAGATAAATTAAAAAAATAATAAAAAATTAATTATATTAAAAATATATTTATAATAATCATAAAATTAATTAATTAATATATATATATATATATATATATAAATTATAAAATAAGATAAATAGGCTTGTAAAAGTTATAAATTTTTTTAATGGATTACACACTTCTCCAAATATTGTGGTGATATTATTTTTATATTATGCCTTCTAGAATTATTATCTTCACACAAGAAAAAATATAAAAAAATATAAATTTTCAAATGAGATATTAAATTTTGATATCATTAAAATAAAATAAATTTTTATATTACTTTTTAGTTACCTCTTAAAAGCATACTTGATTTTATATATAAAAAAAAGTGTGTTTGAATAGTGAAATAGAGAAAAAATAATAATAAAAAAGAATAAATTACTTTTACACTTCTTTAAATCTTGTCGGTGCTTTCTAGAATAACTATCTTTACTCAAAGAAAAATATAAATTCTTAAATGAAATATTAAATTTTAATATCATTAAATAAAGCAAACATTATATATTATCTATTTAGCTACCTCTTAAATGCATGATATATATATATATATATATATATATATATATATATTTGAATGAGGGTATAGAAAAAAATTAAAAGAAATAAAAAATTAAAGCAAAAGTGTGTGTTATTTAGATAAATTGAAAAAATAATAAAAAATTAATTATATTAAAAATATATTTATATTAATCATAAAAAGTAATTAATATATATATATATATATATATATATATATAACTTTAAAATAAGATAAAATAGACTTCTAAAACTTATAAGTTTTTTTTAATGGATTACACACTTCTTCAAATATTGTGATACTATTTTATATTGTATCTTCTAGAATAATTATCTTTACATAGGAAAAAAAATATAAGAAAACATAAATTTTGTAAATGAGATATTGAATTTTGATATCATTAAAATAAAATAAATTTATATATTATTTTTTTAGTTACCTCTTAAATGCATATTTGATTTTATAAATAAAAAAAGGTATGTTTGAATGGTGAAATAGAGAAAAAAGATAAAAAATAAAATAAAATAAAATAAAACTACTCTTACACTTTTTCAAATTTTATGGTACCTTCTAGAATAATTATATTTACTTGAAGAAAACTGTAAATTCTTAAATAAAATATAAAACTTTAATATCATTAAAATAAAGTAAACATTATATATTATTTTTTAGCTACCTCTTAAATATATATATATATATATATATATGTATATATTATTTAAATAAATAAAAAAATTAATTAAATTAAAAATATATTTATAATAATAATAAAAAAGTAATTAATAAAAATATTAATTTTTTACTATCATATATTTTAATAAAAACATATTTTATTTGTTTAAATATTTTTATTAAATAAAATAGAAAAACATCCTTCCATTTCCTTCCACTTCTCCTTAAATTAAGGGTTTTTTTTTTAATTTTTATGGGTCCTACATAAAATAACTTCTTTGGCTCATTTTTTATTACAATTCAAATAAGAATTATTTTTATATTCATTTTTTTTTATTTATTTCTCTCTTTTTATTCAGCCATCTAAATAAAGTGTAAGATTATTTCTTAGGATTATTAAACGGCATGAATGAATTTAGTATGAAAAAGTGACGAATTCACCTATTTAAATTTTTTTGGTTAATTAATATTTTAAAAATAATATAACAAAAATATTTGACATAAATCATGAAAAATAATTGTATAACAGTTTTTGTCAAGTTCGCTTTTTACTATTACTCCTTAAGTTTAAAATGTTTATCATATTAATGTTTTATGAAATAAAAAATTTGAATAAAAATAAAATATAAAATAAGAGACGTATTTAACAATGCTTTTAAAATGCATCTTGGGAAGCTTTATTATTAAAATAAATAAATAAATAAAAAGTTCAAGCACCAAAATACTAGGGCCAAATCTATTAATTTTTTTTTAAAATAAATATATTTTTAAATATGTTATAATGTGTTTGAGTGAATCTTAAATGAATTTTGTAACACTCTCTTTTTATTATTTACAAAATTATGTTTTGTTTGATATTAAATAATATTATGATGTGTTAAAAGTGTATTATGAAGAGTACTAGAAGAGGTAAGTGTAGGAAATCTCGCTTAAGCGAGACTGAGTGCCCAAAAATATCTTATTTTAGAGCAATCTTGGATAAGCGAGATAGGATAGAATCTGCCTAATTGTCACCTTGCTCAGGCGAGAGTGATCTCGCTCAAGCGAGATGAAGATCTCGCCTAAGCGATCTCGCCTAAGCGAGCTATGTTGCTCAGGCAAGGACTCATAAGAGAAATATCACTCTCTCTGGTCGTTATCTCGCTCAGGCGAGATGGAGCTCACTCAAGCGAGCATATTAGAAAAATCATTGTCTGCATATCTCGCTTAAGCCACAGAACCATCGCTCAAGCGAGATGTCATTGCTCAAGCGAGAGCGCACAGGGCTGAAGAGTATTTAAAAAATTTTCAGCACAGAAATTCATTTCACTTTCAAAACCTACGTTCTTCTATCATTTTCTCTGAACTCTCTCTTCTATATTACAGATAAAAGCCTTAGAAACTTTGAAATTTCACCGAATCTGAGCTCAAATTTTGACTCTATGGAATCGTCGATAAGTATCTTAGAGCTTGAACCTCTTATTTTCACTTCTATCTTCTTTGTTTCTTCTTTACTCAAAGAACCTCTTTTCTATAAGGTGTAGAACTATCTTGATCCATGAACTAACCTTCTCTTGCTTTTTCATCACCAAACTAGTTTTTTAATGTAAGAAAAGCTCTATCCTATTACTAAGAACTGTTGTGTTTGTATTTATAAAAATATTTTATTTGAGTATGTGTTGGATGATAACATGTTTTTGTTATGATTTGTGGTGTTTGATGAAGTATATGACTCTTATTTTGAGTACATGTATATGCACGCATGTTATGAATTGAGTCCGAGGGTGACCTACTCTCGACAATAATTGATTGATTGTATGAGGTACTAATGAATTAGAGTGAAATATAGAGAAATAAAATAAGAAAAAGATATGATAAGGACGGATATAGATAGTTCAGAGGTACACTGAGAGTATGGAAGATGGAGAAGACAAAGTCTTGGAGAAATGAGGGTGGTGGATGCTTCTTTTGAATTGTGCAAGACAAATGAGAGTAGGAGCATCACAAGCCTCACACTCATTTCCTGACTAATACTCCTGACCATGCTTTTGTTAAAAGGGACCGAGTCGACACATGTTGTATCCGT